TCATGTCACAAAGAATAAGGGATCATGCATATCCATAATCCAACGTCTTGCGTGCTTAGTTTTGGGCACCTGATTCTTTTGGAGGAAGTGTTAACCATTAAAATTCGATAGTGCGTTTTTTATTGAAAGGTTGAGTTTTAAAACCAAAAAGCGACTTAAAACCGCTTGACCCCGTCGTCTTTACATTTTTTGTTGATTCACCTCCAGTATTCCTTCTTCACATAATAAATTAAGGAGGGGATGTTTGAAAGTTGATTCTCTAATAACGCATTTTAGTTGATATGCGGGCATTTAAGGGTGATAAAGTAGTTTAGAAAAATAAAACTTATTACTTGAATTAAGCGATAAATAAGTGTTATATTTATGCTAAGTGTTAGGTGATATTAGTGATGTTGAGATCATCGGATTGCTATTTTATGGATGTTAAAAGGTGTCGTATTAATTCACTTTTTATGTCACAATAAATTAATTTATCTTTTCTTTCCAGCTGAGGTTCGAAGTAAAATCCAAGGGAAGCAACATCCATTCGGTGAGTCGGTTTCAATTTTATTAATTTACCAAAACATATCGGAATAATTCGCGGTTTGAACGGTGTAATGTTGCCAGATAAAAACCGTTTGAACGCTAATCATTGGGTTTATGCTTGAAAAACGGTACCATTCAATAAATTTTTACATTTTGTGTTTGAAAAATTATAAAGCTTTAATTATTAACATTGTCAAAACATGAAATAATTTGAAATTGAGTGTAAAGCACTCCAAATAATACTAGTATAATCTAATTCAAGCTTTTTAAGGGGGGAGTCTCTTTTTTTGTATCAAATAAAATGATTTCTTTGGGAATTTTTGGCTGCCAAATTATGTGGTATTTCAATTTAATTTTTTCCATATGATATATTTACTTGTTTAAAAAGAATTGTTTATAGAAAATAATCTTTACATTGTCCCTCAACCAAGTTGGTGCGTGCATTGTCTAAGTTGCTGGTTGACACAATATTCTCCTTGAAATGATCTGGAACTCAAAAATCAAATGGTGTTCTTTTCTATATACTTGTGATTATCGTTTGAACTACAACTAAGCAAAAAAACATTATTAGCAAAAGGGCGCCTAGTCAAATTAAGATAATCGTTCATGAAATCGATAAATTTATTGCAAAAAAAAACATATGTTTATATCGTATCAGTTTCTCTGTAGGTCATACGATAAAAAGATTCTATTTGAAAGTGCAGTTCAAATTTCAAGTCAATCGAATGAGTAGTTTTTGAGGTATCGTGTTTGAGCGGCTGTATCATAACAACGATGTGTATAGAAAATATAAATTATATATAGCGCATTAAATTTGCTTTAAAATGTTCTTTATTTCATTATGATATCTCAATTCGTTCTTGAGATACGATTTTTTTAAATTTATATTTCATGACACAAAGAATAAGGGATGATGCATAATCCAACGTCTTGGGTGCTTTGTTTTAATGGTGCAGGAAGTGTTAACCATTAAAATTCGATAGTGCGTTTTATTATAATAAAATGACGTAAGTTTTATTTGAAATGTTTCGAGAAAACAGGTAATTTTTTTATTGAAAGGTTGAGTTTTAAAACCAAAAAACGATTTAAAACCGCTTCGCCCCGTCGTCTTTACATTTTTTGTTTATTCACCTCCAGTATTCCTTCTTCACACAATAAATTAAGGAGGGGATGTTTGGAAGTTGATTCGCTAATAACGCATTTTAGTTGATATGCGGGCATTTAAGGGTGATAACGTAGTTTTGAAAAATAAAACTTATTACCTCAATTAAGTGATAAATACGTGCAATATTTATGCTAAGTGTTAGGTGATATTAGTGATGTTGAGATCATCAGATTGCTATTTTATGGATGGTTATAAGGTATCGTATTAATTAATTTTTTTGTCACAATAAATTATTTATCTTTGCTTTTCAGCTGAGCTTCGAAATAAAATCCAAAGGAAACAACATCCAATCGGTGAGTCGTTTTCAATTCTATTAGGAGATAATTGACTTATTTGACTAAGTAGTTTTTGTGTTTTAATCAAAATTCTTAAATATTTCGAACGGGCATTTTGACATAATTATTCAGGCAGAGGCAAGCTTTCGTTTGAGATATAAAACATTAAAATCCGTCTAACCGTTCTTTAGTTATAGCGAATTTAATAAAAATTAATTTTTTCTTACTGGGGGCTAGACTTCTATTCGCTAGATACGGGCTTTTCCGCCTTCGCATTCATTGTGGATCATACTTTCGATCGAGCCGTTGATAACTAAAATTGATTAATTAATTAAGGAGATATTTGATGTGTTTGAGGTGTCAAAATTTCGATGTGTTTGCAGGGTATCTCAGTTATTATGAAAGATAGAAAGTTGCGGCTTTCGCGAACCTGCGCTACTTTTTTGTGAAACTTACAATGGCGCAAACCAAATTTTCATAGCCCTCTTCGTTTTTGATATACAGGGGTGTTTGAAATTTACGATTTTCAGACACCTCCTGTATCTCGGCTATCAGGAAACTTAGTAAAAAACGGGTTCTAATAGAATTTTTCTAGTCGTCACGGTTTTTCAAAATGGCAATCTTGAAGTTGTCTTCAGTTTTGCTGGGGGAATTGTAAGTCCTTGCATAGGCACTGAAACATTATTATTAGTAAAAGTTTTCAATAGGTGTGTCTTGTCTGTTGTGAGTGGAAGAGGACCTAAGCTGTAATGATTACAACTCTTCCAACTCGCTGTCATTGTCGCTATCATCTGCTCTCTGATGAAAGGATGTTACTCGATCTTTGGCATCTTGCATAACAGGAGGTAAAAATAGACGTGCGTATTCGTATTTTCATTATAGAGTATTTATGGCAGCTTTGGTCAAATTTGTTTTCCGGTAAGAGAACTTCAAGAGCCTTCAATCGCGGTGATTTCCTTCTTTGTTTACAACTCTTTGTATCTGTAAAGGAATAACATAAAAATATGTACGTAAAGTAGTACATATATTTTTATCGTTGTTATCGTTATGTTATATTTTTACAGTTCCACAGAGTTGTAAACAAAGAAGGGAATCACTGTGGTTGCAGTATCAGCAGAATGAAAATACGAAGACGCACTTCCATTTTTACCTGCTTTTAAGCAAGATGTCAAAAACTGAGTAATCGGTTCTTTCATCAGAGAGTGATCAGAGATGAGCAGGTAAGAGCACGTGTCTCAATCATTGTAGTTTAGCTCCTTTTCCACTCACAACAGACCAGACACACCTCTACCAGGAAACTTCTACTAATAATAATGTTTCAGTACCTACAAAGACTTATACTTCTCTCAGCAAAACTAAAGAAAACTTCAAGACTGCCAATTTTGATGTTCCCGAGTTGAATTTTTCTTTTATTACATTTCTATCACATTTTCTTTTATTTCCATCCTAGAAATGTATTTTTACATCAGTCCATATCATTTCATAAAACGTCAAATTCCACCAATAGCACAAAAGGCAACCATCATTTAGCATACACTGCTTCTAATTTTGCTATTATTCCTTTTTTGTTGAAATACTACAAAATCTTACACTTTGGTTACCACAAGGAGATAATTAGAACCAATTCAATTTAAACTCAATTCATCGGTAATTTTCAATATCTTCCATACAAATAGGTATAGAGATAACCGTGGGGTTACGAAAAAATTGAGAAGGCTAAAATATACGACTAGGATGAAAGATAGAGCTATTCAGAAGCAAGCATAGAACGACCCTAGGAACACAGTGACGAAAAGATGTAGAGATTAAAGTATCACCTCTTCCGGTGCGATGGAATGTGTTAAATAAGAACCCTCAAAGGACTTAGATACGTTGGGTACTTCTATACATTCCTAATATCAAACACAATGCAGAACACAGCTCTTGAATTAGAATAGAGAGACATTTTCGTGGATACCATGAGCAGTGTTGTTAAATACCCGAGTATTTATTTTCAAGGGTAAATTTCCTGGATATATACCCGGGGGTATTTACCCAAGATGGGTACTTAGAGGTATTTATAAAATTTAATTTAAATTGAGTTGATGGCAGTTTTGTAAGCACTTCAAGAATGCAGAGTCGATTATGACACCAAACTTGTTTATAACATCTACAAGAATGCTACAATGACGGCAAAATTGCATAAACTTACTGATTGTGAGTAAAACAAGGCGATACAATGTTGAACCCAAATTGTTCATCACAGTCCTGGAGAATGCATTTAAACAACTGGATTGGACCCAAAAAGGCATAAACATTGATGGAAAATGCCTAAGTAATTTGCGCTGCGCAGACGATATAGTTCTTATTTCCGATAGCCTTGGATAGATGAAACTAATGCTGAACGACTTAGGACTAAGGNAAATGTTAACATGGTGGTTCCTCATCAAAACAATGGCTATAAACATCGTGTTCATCGAATCCAAGAGTGGTTCAGAAATCACCTTGTGAACATTAGAGGTATTCATTAAAAATCTTTTTACAAGTCTAGTCTCCTTTTATTACGTTTTAAGTACTGCATTTCTGCTAAATATGTGGTAAATATTATCAAGAAATGCAACAAAGAAATATTAAATAATGATAAATTATTCTTAAGTTATTTTCAAAAATTTCAATAATTTTAAAATAATTAGATTAATAAGATAAAATGTTTCTTGTTATAGCTTAAAACGAGCTTTCGTAGTACCAAAGATTTAAACTCATTCTTAAATACAAATTGCGGTGTGCCAATCTTCCTAAAGTATATCAGAAGCGATTTGCGCATATCTTACGACCTCGTCATCTTACTAAGGAGATGAACCGTTCAAAATTGGCCTTTCAAAATATATTGGAAAGCATCCTATTTCATCAAAACGTGACAAGAATTTTTTTAAACCACATAAAATGAGTAATTTACATTTAAAAATGTGACGTAAAAAAAACAAATTAGTGCAAAGATCAACTATTTATTTAGAAAAAAAACTTTAAAATATATAAGTAAATGTATAAAAAATTGATTCATTGATAAACTTATTAATATTAATAAGATAAGGTATTTAAAACGTAGTAGATTTTTTAGATGTCATCTTTTTATATTTAATATTACTTATTTCCTCTAAACTATTAGATGTTTTAAGTTTGTTTTTTCTAGGGGTAAATTTCTTCAAAAAATCTAATTTGCTTTTAATCGAAGCGACACTGAAATTACTACGTTTTCTTTTCACAGAATGGCCATTTTCTTCTTCTTCATTTAGATTATTATTTTTTGGCGAAACAGTTTCTTTTATATCCACATCTAATAGCTCTTTAGATCCATAACAAAGCGTATAATTGTTTAAATTTTCTTCATTATCTTTATTTAATTCGATTAAAGTGTTACTTTTTGGTGGGGTGTAAGTCCATCCGATTTTCGAAATTTTTTTCATTATTTCTTTATTGTTATCATTAATTTCCGGTAATTTAGGCGATATTAAATTTAACATGGACGTATCGTAACTATCATAAATATATTCACCTTCCGGTGTAATACAATTTTTTGGTGTACTCCAACCATAATTGATCAAATTTTCTGTGTTAACACCCCGATCAATTTTAGAAGTTTCATTCAATTTTAAAATAATCGGAAGAGAATATTCAGTATTACACCCAATTTCTCTTGGTGATGAACCCCGTTCGTTGACATTCTTAAAAACTTCATCAAAACTAATCAATGACAAAGAACTTTGCGTTCCGCATAGTTTCGTTAAGCTTAAATCTTCAGAAAACATACTTGATCGTTCAAAATCGAGGTTTTCTGGTTCGCGAAAATGACAAGTTTGAACACCTACATCTTTTAAAAAATCGCAAGTTTCAAAACTAACTTCAGAAATTCGGTCTAACAAACACAATTTGATATCGGTTTGAGTAGAAACATCGACGTAACGTTTCGTTATTAAAGAATAGATTTTTTTCGTGTTAATTAACTCTTCGGGTATTTCAAATTGCGGTGATGTTATAAGTTTTGATTTTTGTTTGAACAATGCTTGGATTTCTGGCCATCTTAAAACGGTGTACAATAATAACGGAAAATATTGTTTATCCAACTGAAATATAATAGCATTAATTAATTAAATAATTGATTAATTAATTATTTTACCTTTGTTAATTTTCCTGGTGTGTATGGACGTAAAAATAGTGTTGAACAAAAATATCTTACCATGTAATAAGCAGTTAAATGATTCAATCGCTTTTTTGCGTACTTATTTGATGCAATTAAACGAATAAATTGCACAAGAATAGCAAATAACAGAAGATTTGATGATGGTAGTCTTAATAAATCTCTAAAATGTAATGAATATTATTAATAATTTAGTGAAATTTGGCAGCTCTTATAAAATTTAATACATTAGCAATATATTTTGATTGGTTATTTCTCGATTTAATTTTCGAGGTTTATTCATAGGTAATTTTCCAAACTCTTTGTGTAAGGCATCGTCTCACCGTATCAGGCATAAAATATCATTGATTGCATACACAAAGACAACCTAGAGATAAATCAACACACGACAATCTATGGTAAGAGTTAGAGGACCAACCAGGTGTTAACAGCATAAAGATAACTTGCTAATCGATGAGTACAAATGATTTGGAAGGAACGCCAAACTTTCTAGAACGTGAAGCCTGATTGCAGCAATTGTTTGAATTCTATCACAAATGAACCTAAATTTGCATGGACCACTTGCTAAATGATGAATGAGTTCCAACATTATTCTTGTGCTAAGCCCGTAGTGTATAAAACTTGAAACCTGACTGAGACAATTTTTTGAATTCTCTCATAAATTAATTCTACATTTACATGGACAACTTGCTAAATGTTCGATAAATCCTCTTATTTTCTAGCTAAACCAGTAATAAAGCAATTCTTTGAGTTCTATCACAAATTAATCATAGATTTGCATCGATAACTTGCTAAATGACCGTTGATTACCTCAATTTAGGAAGTAAACCTGTAATTTCAAAACCCTGATATTGATTGTTTGAGTTCTATTATAAATAGTACAGACTTGTATGGACAATTTATTAAACAATTGACGAGTACCCTTATTTTAGAGCTAAACTCGAAATTTGTAGAACGTGACACCTGGATCGAACCAGAATTTTCAACCGGGTCAGATCAGTTTTCATGGTGAGCTTAAAACACGTCGTAAAGGTTGGTTTTAAGATTGAGTTTTCTTTCACGAGTTTTTGTAGGCGATCAAAAGCAAATTTTGTTGTCTTCGGGTTGCATAGCGACAAATGAAATGTTTAACGAACCTCAACTCTTTTATCACTGCCTGTCTGATGATTTTCTTGGAGAGTGCCTTAAACGTTGAGATTAATTACTTAAAATCTCAAATTGTTAGTAAATTTACAACTGCATGTTTAAGAAAAGCTTAAAATTAATCTCACATTTCGAAAAGTGATTAAATATTATAAACAAACATTTTCAAATTTTATACTTATCAAGATTCAAGAATTGAAACTTATTCTCAAGCATCCTTTAAAATGTGACATTACTATCTGAGTATAAAATTAAATTATAGCTTAAAAACTACAATTTATCAGTTACTAAGGTGACAAGACTTACTAACAAGGAAAAACGTCCAATTCACTTGTATAAATTCTAACATTATTAACAGTAAGGAAATTTGTAAGGCTTTAATAACCGTTGAACTTCTTTTTTAAATCAGAAACTCAACAAGGTAAGTCTTACGAACTTACCTAACAAAGAGGGTAATTTTACAAATTGACAAATGTATGCCATATAATTTTTAATTTATGTTTATAAATTGGCTATTTCCTAGCGGTTTGGGAAACTGTACAAATATTAATGTTTAAAAAGCTTAGAAAGAAGAAGAGTATTGTGTTTAACTACAGTTCTATTATAAGTACGAAGACTTTCACGGCCGATGTTAATTAAACTAAAATTAGAACTAATAGTAGCACTATCACTGGAACTAACACTAGACCTAGAAGACTTTCGGGTTAAGCCGTGCATCTTTTGAAAAAATTTTTGACGTTTCGGATGGCATGTTGCAACAAGTTCGAAGTGACACAGTTCTATTACTCTCCTGTCCATCCATCTAATGCTGCCACAATGCAACTCTAACTTTGGTCTCTTCAATTCTCGTCTTTTGATGCTCTTTTCCAGTTGGCTAACATTTTCCTGATATATTTCCGCATCTCATTTCCTCATCATAGTCTGTGGTTCATGCGAGCTCCTCATCCTTGATTAATCCCAGTATTTTCCTTAACCTTTTCAGGGACGAACCGGATTTAGTAGCCATACCTTTAGACCGGCACCGATGGCTATGTGTGGCCATGCTCTGATCTTTTAATACTTACTAAATCCGCATGTAGTATATGATCAATGATCAGATAATAGATTAATTCCTAAAAAATTATTAAAAACGTGTCGCAGTTCAATACACCTTCTCATCTGGTAGCAATGATAAATATCTCTCAGGAAGGTTTCCTGGAAAGTTTTTAACGATGATGTCGGAAAAGTGGACTTTAGGGCAAAAAGACCACGAGACACTAACGAGACTCGAGAGGAACGTATTTAGAAGAATATATGACGCTGTTAATGATAACGGTGTTTGGTTTTGGCGTTATAACTTCGAGTTGTATCTTTTAGATTGTTAACAAGAGATAGTCAAATTTATCAAAGTGTAAAGGTTGAAGCACAACGAGCTGTAGAGCCAAGCATGATGATGTAGATAAGTCTTGTATTGGCTCATTTCACGTATAATGTCGTCAAAAAAGTGTTAGTGGTAAAGTGCTCGAAAGTTTAGAAGGGATCTATTTGCGATAAATTGACCTTACATCCTGAGTTAGCGCTGTCATAATTATGAACAATGGTGGCCCACATAATGAAAATAATCGAGTTTGTTATGCAAACAGCTTCAGAAATTGTGTATCTATAAAATCATTTAAACGCAGTTGTAAAACAAAAGAGCTGTGACCCTATCTTCATATAAAAAATATGTGTTATTTTGGCAAGTACTACGTCGTAGTAAAGTTTCCCGATTAAAAGTTGAACCACCCTGTATACCATCTTAATTTTTAAAGAGTTAAGCTTTTCCTGTCTAGTGTATCCAGTCTCTATGCATTTCTTTGTGTAAGTGACCACGTTTCTCCTCCATACGTTAATATGGATAAGTTTCTGGAACTTACAATGGGTAGTGTGACGTAACATGCCTCATATGCTACATTTTTTCTCTTAATTACATTGTTTGCTTCGTCGTTGGTATGTGACATGTTAGATCCTAGATACGTGGACTCTTGTGCAACATTAAAGTTATTCGTGTCTGCTCTCCACTTTTGAGTTTGTTTTTTTTTCATTGCTTTCCTATTCAGGTCTATTTTCTTATCAGTCGCTTTCAAGGACTCATCTATATATGATTTGTTTTCAGCAGTTTAACGTTGATCCTGTGTTCGCGCTGATCTTCCTTATTACGCTAAAAAAACTTATTACGGAAAAAGGTAATTTTTCAGTATCTTCGATTTTCTCACCAATCTTGACTCTACTTGTTATATTACACATTGTTATGCTTATAATACTAATCAGCTTTAATAGAATGTCAAAGTAGTCAAAAGTAGTCAAACAGTATTGGTAGGAGTTCACTTCTGTCTATGCACTCTCCTCTCAACCCTCCCTAAATGTAATATTACAAAGACTTCAAGATCTTCAAGAAGCTAATAGAATATAATTCTCGACATCCAACTTGGATTTCGAGAAGGTCAATGAATCATTAGCTAAAACGTGTTACTGAGTTTATCGAAAGAAAATTTGAAAATAAACAATTTGATTCCGTGTGGTTAGAGCGGTTAAATTTAAACTATTATACCTAGGATTGGATGAGTATTTAAGTGCAATTCTTCTCAGATATCTTCAAGAACGTATCTTTTGTGTAAAAATTATTGAGTCAGTTTCAAATACCAACGTTGTTTAATGTTTTCATACACGACATACAATAAGAATTCAATGAAGAAGTCTTATTTATAGACTAAACTGTTAATAATGACTAAAAGTAGTGATTTAGAAGATGCTATCGAAAAACTTCAACAATTCCGCAATATAGGCAATTATTATCAACTTATACGCATAAACCTGGGGATTTATTCCTCATCACGAATAATGATTCATAGGCGAGAAAAATTGTAGTAAAAGATTTTCTGTTTCATAGATATCCGTGATATTTACTTTACGGCCTAAACCCGGGTGTTTTCGGATTATCTCGGCAGCAGCATGTATCCGATTTTGCAATATTTGCTTAGTATTAACTTCCGTGGCGTACACTGTGCTTTTTAAGTGACGCGAAACTTAAAAATTAAAAGTATTGAGGTCGGGCGATCACGGTGGCAAGGCCATTGGACCATCTCGACCTATCCATCCTCCAGGAAACACATTATCTAGATGTTGCCGATTATATCGGATATCTAGGAAACTAAAAAACTTACTACAGAAATGTGTACAGAAATATCCATTTTTCTTAATAACGGAACGGCATAATAACGGAAGGGCTTCCAAAATACTTGGTGAAGAAGGGGAGTGAGGAAAGTAAAAGGTTGGTGGCTAGATTTCGGTGTGGTAATGAGGAGAGAGCGGACAGGTACTGGGCGGATGATGTGGAGATTTGATGTCGGTTGTGCGGAGGGGATTGGGAGACGCCAGAACATATATTGAGGGGATGTAGTGAGCTGAGAGAAGAAGAAAGGAACCGGTGGCAGATTCTGGAAGAGGGGGGAGAAGGCAGGGGATGGATGAAGGAGGTGCTCGGGACGAGGGAACGGAGGAAGGGGGGGTGATAAGGGAAGTTAAGTTAATGAATGGTCCTGTTGTTGAAAATCACGTCCTAAGATTCTTGAGCCGTAGAGTTCTTTGTCAGCCGAGATTACTTTTCCCAGGAATCGTCCATTGCAATATGTTTTGTAGTAAACCATATACAGGTGAGGCAGGGGAAACAAGCGGTTTTGGAAGGGCTATTATTACCTCGTTATAGAAAGAGAGGGCCGTGTGCCAGGTGTTGTTGCATTTGTTGGCCTATAGCATTTTATTGTTAGTTACTATCATGGAATCGTGGACGCTAGAACATCGAATCATTGCGTACGATTGTTTTGTTAAAAATAACGAGTCGGTGACCGCAGTTCTACGTGCGTTTCGTCGTAGATTTAATATTCATCAAAATGATGGTGTTCCCTCGCATGACACAATCTTGCGCTGGGTTAATAATCTTCGAACTACGACCTCAATTTTTAAAAAGGAACCCCCCGGTCCTCAACGTACTGTGCGGACCCCAGAAAACGTTGAAAGGGTCAGACAAGCGATATTGGGAAGCTCAAGTCGCTCTGTTCGCAAACATACTGCTGCACTTGGAATCAGTAATCGCATTGTAAGACGGATTTTGCATACAGACTTACAATTTCACCCTTACAAGATAGCGATTGTGCAGAAGCCAAATGTAACGGATTACCTCCAACGAGTGCATTTTGCGCAGGAAATGCTTGCACATTATGAACAAAATGAAAACATTATGGTGGTAATGATTGGTGAGGCCCATTTCCACCTTAATGGGGCCGTCAATAAACTAAATTGTCGGTATTGGGCTAATCCTCGACACCTCCATGAGAAACCACTGCATAGCTCTAAGGTTACAGTTTGGTCCGCGATAGGAAAATCATAGGCATAATCGGTCCCTGTTAACTGTTACAAGTCAGCGCTACGTTAACATGGTGAACACATTTTTCATCCCCGAGTTACAAAGACGGAATATTGATAGTCAGCATTTGTGGTTTCAGCAAGATGGAGCCACGGCACACACTGCAATAATGGTTATTATTCTACTCCTGTTGAGTTGAAAGAAACGATCCGTCAAATCAATAGAGACCTAGAGACCAAACAATTTTCTTCAACGTCTTCAACAATGTATCGACGAAAATGGTCATCATATGCTAATTATATATTAATATATTTAATTTTCCGAAAGTGAATAATATTGAAATCCTATGTACTTATAAAGATTTTTTTACAAATAAATTTCGTCAACAGCAAAATCTAAAAAATTTATAATTATTCTAACACCACTTGTTTCCCGTGCCTCACCTTTTATTCTCGTTCCTCATTATGGTCGAGGTATTCGATTTTGCGAGCTTTTATAGTAGTTATTAATTATAATGTCTCTCTTCATTTTGACAGACTTTTTCATTAGATACATCTTCTAGCCATGAAATTCTTAAGATTCTGCGAAAAGCCACTTTTCAAAAGCTATCAAGTTTTTGGTAGTTGTTTCCGTCAAGGTCTGATTGTTCTTCATACACCAAGACACTCTACACCACACTCTATCCCACAGCGAATCTCTTGTGAGTGGTTTCATTGGTCGTTGAGTAGGACAGATAGATTTGTGTATTTGTTGATAATACGCATCCTTGCCTTACTCTTCACAAGCTATTTATGGGACTTGACTGTTTCTCTTCAATGGTTCTGTATGCTACCTGATCCCAGTACATACATTCGCGATATAATTTTTAGATCTTTTCCATCGATCCCAAAACAGCTTAGTATTTTCTATAGTTTATAGTGATGGACTCTGATGTCAACATAGGTGACATGAGTGTGACAATTTCAGATTTACAGTGATACAATAAAGTCTACTATATAAAGATATCTCAGCTCCTGAAATGTAATTCAATGAATTTTTGAAACGAAAGATATTAGAAGTCTATATTATTTTAATACGAAGTCGAAACAGTTCGACTTGTGCTACGAAGTGTAGGCTACAGCAGTAGCTTTAGTCGCACGTCTCTCAATACGGCTAAAGCCGAATTATTCTAGTTCTAGGTCTTGTGTTAGTTCTAGTGACAGTGTAAAACTAGAACTAACACTAGATCTAGAACTAGAAACATTCGGATTTAGCTGCACGTTTCTCAAGACGGCTAAACCCGATACTTACTAGTTCTAGGTCTAGTGTTAGTTTTAATTTTAGTTAAATAAAAATATACAACATAGTGATACCTTATGCTAACTAGCGCTACTTACCACTGTCTCTAAACCTAACATTAGACCTAGAACTAGAAACATTCGGGCTTAGCCGCACGTCTCTCAAGACTGCTAAACCCGAATTATTCTAGTTCTAGGTCTTGTATTAGTTCTAGTTTTAGTTCAATAAAAATATGCAACATAATGATATCTTATGCTAACTACGCTACTTACCACTGTCTCTAGATTAACATCTCTATTAACATCTCTCTAGATTAACATTATACCTAAAAATAGAAACATTCAAGTTTTCATACAAGATTTAGTTCTAGGTCTAGTGCTAGTGTTAGTCTAGTTTTATTTGTTAATCAGCGCTAGATAGTTGTATATTTTTATTGAGCTATAACGGACACTGATAGACTTTTTTTTAGGATTGTATGTAGACTTTTTTGAGTTAAAGATATGATTATGTTTTGTGTTCCCATTGATTAATAACTTATATAGTTTTTATGTAAAATATGGACTTCTTACATGTTTCGTTAAAAAATTTCATTGAATTACATTTCGGGAGCTGAGATATTATCATTTTCCGGACTGTATGTAGACTTTATTGTATCACTGTATTATAATCGAAATGAAGCAATGAATTTGCACTTAAAATAATTAATATTAAATAGACGTCGTATTTTAAAACCAAAAATTTTACACGATTCAAATATTACGTATTAAACGCATTTTTATCAACGATGTTTTTAATTTATTGAAGCTTGTGTTTACGCGTTGGTTGTTTATCGTAACAATTATGAATATATTCGGAGAACACTCAATACAATTGCTTGTGAATGTATATTTGGTTGTTATGTTAGTTGATTAAATGGATTACCAATAACATTGTGAGTTGATTTATGAAGCCGAGCGGCAATTACCTACGTCATATTGTACCTACCATTTTTGTTTAATAAATTTAGTGTTAAAATATATTATTTTTTTGTGACGGTTATAATAAGATTAAATTTAAATAATGTTGGTTTTACAAATCCCAACATATTTGATTAAACAAGTTACGTCGAGTATTATACATCAAAAAACGAAAAAGGATTTCAATTTTAACGCATAGTCGACATGAAATGGTAAAAAAATTCCAAATTATTCGGTTACAATAATTTTAGTTTGTGAAAGAGATTAAACCACGTTTGTTAAAATTCGAAACGCATCATTTTTGTGGCTCTTTTTATGGGCGTATAAAATAGTAAACTTTCTGTATGAACGAATAAAAAATTAAATAAATTGGATTTATTAACGTGAGCTAAAAATGTGTACGTATCCTGAAAATACCTACTTAGCAATTTTTGCTGTTAACAATCCATTGTTAACATCAACTATTCTGTGTTGTAAAAACGTCTGTTTGCAAACCCTAGCTAACTGATACCAATTAAAATATTTCTCGTCTGAATAACTTGGAAGTAAAGGGATGGGTAATAATCCCATAAAATGCCTTATCACCCATAATATAACACCAGGAGGGGTTACGTTCGGCATTTGCCTGCATTGTGACACGGCTTTTTTCACTTCCAATCGTTGGTCGACTGTGCCTTGATACTTGCTACCAACATAAAACAAAATTAAAAAACAATCCATTTTAAATAACAAAAGTTACCCCAAAATATCTAATATAGGTAATCTTGATGATGTTATATCTTGATATGCTCTTATAAACGTAGCCTATAATACAAAATAAAAATCGTATTTAAACATAACCTCAAAATAGGAATCAATTGTTATCTTCAATATGTCTAACTTTTAAATGAGGATGGATGTCATCAGATGGAAATATATCATCGATTGGAACCCCGAATGGTAACCTAAAAATTAAAAATTAAATAAATCTGATAATAACAAAAACGTTATATTACCTGGAACGACAAGGTACGTTTTTATTATTGTAATTTATGGTCATTTTTTTGGTAAACACATCACGGTACGTTAAATGTCATTTGAACGCCATGTTTCACGTCAAATTTACTTCAGCTGCCGATAGGCGGCGACACAAGCGGCAACGCGCGGGAGTTACGAAAATTTATCGACGCTATTTCGACGACCAAAATTGGATTGGTCGTTAATTATTGAGAATTTCAATCGTAAACGTTGATTTATTGGAATTTTTCGGGTAATATTATTAATTATGTCGCGACCCAGAAACAGATTTCCAGCCGAAATTCAAAACCGAATGCAAATGAACGGATTCGTTTTTTTTTGTATAGACGAATTTGATGGAAAATCGATACGATAATGTAGTAAGCGTATAACGGGCTTTCGTTTGTGAATATTTTAAACAATTGGTTTAAATGAAATCCAAATAATAATCCGGACGGGAAAATTTTAAATCGTTTATGTTTATTGGTATGATATGTGTTATCCATTTTGAAAGTGTTTTATTTAGTTTTATTAAAATAGATTTTTATTTTTATATGGGTTGTTTAAATTTTCGAGAGTACTTCAATGGTTATTTATATAACTTTATTATAGGTGGGATATAAAATCTCACGTATTGCATGTGAAAAACAGCTGTTGCAACTATCCTACAAAATGCACCCTTACTAAATATTACCTCAAAACTTACACAGAAAACTAAAATTTCTAGTTATATATCACCTTAATATGTATTTCGTCAGAGTCTCTGCGGTGACATAATGTTTCCGTAGATTTCTTTGTCTTAAATTAACAGTCATATATTTCGGTTCAAAAAGGATGTTTGCAGTTTTGCTTTCTTAACAAATTTAGCAAACTCCAAGTAGCAAATGCCAAATTTCGTAAATTGTATTAACAAGGAAATTGTGCAAGCTCGAGTCTCACTTGTGACACTTGTAATTTTGTTATGACAAATTTCAAATATAACTAAATTGTTACGCATAATTGTAAAGTAAGATAGTTGTATTTTTATAAAGAAAGCTTCATTCTTCTACATCGAGCTCTCACGACGAATTATTTATTACAACTTTTTCCGATTTCTAGTCTCCATTTTATTTCCCTTTTGTTAAGTTCTTTATCTATTTCCTTTCTCCAACTTATATCTATTTCCACTTATGTCTCGTGGATTGTGCAATTAATAATCCCATCCATTTTCGATTTGCCTGCTGCTCTTTGCAAGCAATTCATTTCTATAGCGTTCAATTCGCTACTTGTTATCGCTTGTTATTATGCTTTTTACTATAGTATTATAGATTTAATAGCTATTCTTTTCTGCTTTGTATGTTTCTATACTTTATTGTACATTCTAGTGTTCCGTCGCTGCTTATTTGTGCTCTCAAGTAAATTTGTACTTTCTGGTATATTTTATGCACTTTTTATAGTTTAGGTCAAGGTTCTGCTGCTGTCCTCCCATCTACATATAGGACATTTTTTGTATATTAAGTTTTAGGTCTCATTTACTCACACTTCTATCAGCTTCCTGATTATGTATTCCATATCATATTGGTCGTGTGCTATTAGTATTTCGTCGTCGACGAAATATAGTGTGTATAGATGATGCTATCATTTCACGGAATACTTTTACTTTTTCTTTTGCACCTCTTCTTTTGCGTCACGGATAGGCAACTCACCAGGCTTGAGTCCTTTAGTGATCTGGAAACCATTCGACACTCTCTGTTCCATCTTGATTTTAGGTTGTTGATATAAGTTTCTTACTGCCTTTATTATGGCACTGATGCTCGTTTCTTCGATCTTTTAGATTTATATACACTAGGCTGGTTTCCTGATTATTCGCTGTTTTTCTTATTAACTGGGAGACACAAAAGAGGTGGTCTATTGTGTTGATCTTCCAGCTCGGATTCTTGCTGGCTCTTTCGCTTCCACATCCCTGTTCTCTAGGTATATTTTGTTGACCACGATCTTACCACATACTTTATATAGAAGTGCCTGTTATTGCTATACTTTTGTAATTGTCGCAGTTTTGTCTATCGCCCTCTTTATGTATGGTAGATATAAGGGTAGTGTTCCATTCTTCTGAAATTAGTTTACCGTTAAGGCACTTCTGAAATTGTGTCTCAAACTTGCTTATAATATAAGCTTTGTTTGTAATATTTAACATACTTTAGTCGTTGCCAAGCATACCATTGTTACAGTTCATGCCCTTGTGTAGCTTACGTGTTTTGACCGTGCCCGAAATTTTTATTTCTGATTTACTTGATAAGTTATTGGTTCTAATCGATTTTAACAGTCATAGATAATGAGTAAGCCATTATCTTTGTCAACTTTCTCACTGATACCGAAAAATTTCTTGCTACAGAAAGCATCGTAACTCCTAATAGTTTATAAGATGAACCCAAACTAAGGGCAAAACATAAATGTCACACTATTAGATTGTACAAACAATATTAAATGCGGCATCTGGGAAAAAAGAAAATGCTCTTATAGGAATAAAACATCGGGCATTTTTGGAGTAGGTATAACAACACCCTTTACGCTAGTCATAGTGTGTGGACACGTGTGGTTTATGAGATTTATTTTATTAATAAGTTTTTAAAGTTGCTGACGTTTCAGAAACACTTTCTTTTATGTGCAATTTTTTTTAATGGAAAAAATATGCTTTTGTTAACAGCCCCTCCTCTAAAGCTCCCAACACAACCCAACCCAACCATGCAGTTTTTAGCAAGTTTTAGTATATTTTTTCTTGCTTGTAGTGGAATAGGTTCTGCGAGATTCAACCGCCTTTGTTTCATTAATTCCTATATCTAACTCGATATTTGAGAACACACCATCGTCGCATATCCTCCCTTAAATAAATATTGAAGACTGGAATAATAATAATAAGAATCGCCAGAAGTCAAAAATCGTGAAGTTAGAACAAGTCTTTCTTAAGCAAGTATTCTCAATGGATAGCAATAAAAATTTAAAACCAGTGGGGTGCATCCTAATAAGTTTTTTATACTATCCAATTACAGATTGAAAATTTAAATCGGATAGTAAATTTAATATCTACTAATATTGCTCCCTACTTGCTTATAACATAGTCAATCCACCAAAGTTCTGGATTTCGCTTCTTTTTGAGAAATGTAAGAGGCTGCTCTTTGCGTACTCATTATGTTATGTACAGAGCGATACTGGAATATTTTGAAACGCTCTTGGCTCGTACCGCATGCCGGTTGTACTTACATCTAATATAGATAATCAGTTGTGATCCTGTACATCTACATTTATGAGTCTGCACAAGAGGAGATAGGTCCATGTACATCACAAGAAGATTGTATGTTGGATATGGAGTATAACCAAAACGTTGTAAGTTAGGTACTCGAAGAGTGGAAAGTAAAGACGACTTTCTTTGGACATAGTACGCAATAATTATAGAAAGATGAAATCTTTACAACTCTATAGTTAAGAACAATACTAGGAAAATGAAGGAACATATTGAGAAAAATTAATAGCAATTTCGGAACATGCGTTTAAATAATTTTTGGAATTACTAGTACCAATCTGACGGAAATGGGAGTTAGAAGTAAAAGCAAATCTGAATCTGCGCAATTGGTTATAATTGCGCAGATTCAGAAATTGCTTCCCGAAAATAATCAGAAAATTTTAAAACTACGCACAGAATTGATTCTCGTAAAATTACCTCGTTGAAATTTATTTGCAATTACTAACTTTGCTACTTCAAAACAAGATTCGCCATATCTTGATCGTTACTCAGAATGACACCTTGGTACCAGTAGTTTTTGTATTTTAATTACATTTTTGGCTATTTCTACTACTATCAATAAATGTATCCAAAATTTATCTCAGCTTCTACGCTTACAACCAAATAAGAAAATATTACACTACAAACTAGACAGAAAACATGAAATTTCGATAGAGAAACAAGACGAAAGTTTTCCGAGGTTTTTAAACGTCGCATAGTGCAATGCACTGAATGTACCTTTTGAATGTATCACCGCTCAAAAACAGAAAATATTATAGTTTTTGATAAACTGTCAATTACATAAACTATGTACCATGGAGATTCTTTAAAGAACACGCAGAATCTCTTTAATCCAAACGGAATTGAATGCATTATATAAATCTGGCACCACTACCATCGGGTTATCTACTATTTATCTTACACTTCCCCATCGATCCCAATAACCCATTCAAAGCCTGTAAAGTTCTTTTTCTCTTCCTACTCCTAAACTTTTATTCATTTAATTTCCTCTTTTTTCCATAAATTTATAACAACTACGCTTAGTCCAGCACCTTACAAATTGCCAAATAACTTCTAGGAGGTATTCTGCTGGATTAAATAATGCTCTATCAATATATGAAATCTTGGTCTAACTAGTTATCTGTTATGTCAAAAAAAAATCTTTAACTATAATAAAGTGAAGCTAAATCAATTAATATAAAATTACACCAATACAATGTTTTTCTACCTTAAAAATAATTGCTATACTTCATTTCATTAGAGAAGTACAAATACAACAAATCTTTTAGATTGATAGCGATAGTTTTCTTACTGAAATGGAGAATTAAGCAATTTTCCAAGCTTAGATTTTTAACGACATCCGTCGTTTGACATAAAAAAACAAAAACAGAACCAAATTTCCGGTCCCCGTCCGACACTAGAGAAACACCCATTACCCGGCTATTTATAGGCCCTAAGAACGTCGTCCGGGAGAATTTAAAGACACCGGAAGTAAGAGGGCAATTCTCGAGGTTGCCATTTTCCGGAGGCGGCTGTATTATAAACCAACCCCCTTTCCAACTCTGCTTTCGGCCACAGTCTGGATTGCCTTATAAATTAAGAAATGTATCGAGATTTAAAAAAAAATACTTGTTTTTTATTACTTATTAGAAGCAATAAATACTTTTTAGGTATAAACAAAACGTTTAACAAAATTGGATTTCCCTTTCCTTTGAGGGGCGTTAATAGCTAATGTTCTGGTAAATGAGTACGTAATCGTGACGTTGTGTACCAGGGGCGAAGTGACAGCACCACATGCTGAGAAATTCGATGTCAGGTTTCCCCATTCCACCTCT